GGGTGGTGACGATGAGGATAGCGAAGAAGGTACGGATTTCTCTCTATGTCGTGTGATGGCTCTCATCCTTGTGTTGTAGACGAAGACTTCCAGGCCTCGTCCACAGACGAAGGTTCTCCGAGTGAAAGCGACTCAGATTCTGACGGCGGCGTTACTGCCTCTGATGCTAGTGGAGATCGCGAGCTGGCGAATGCTGCGAAAGGAAAGAAGAAATTGACCAAGAAGAAGGTGAAGGGCAAGGCAGCTGGCAGTGATGCAGGGGATGATGAAGACAAACCGAAGAAGAAGAAGGCGAAGCCCAAAGCAGCCGGTAGCGATGCAGGGGATGATGAAAATAAACCCAAGAAGAAGGCTAAGGCCAAGGCAGCTGGTAGTGATGCAGGCGATGATGAAGATAAACCCAAGAAAACAGCGCCTAAACCTAAGCCCAAGCCCAAAGCCAAGAAACAGGACGATGATGCTATGGATGTTGACGAGGAGCCGAAACCGAAGCCTAAACCAAAACCGAAACCAAAACCAAAAGCTTCCGGCCTTAAGGAAGGTGAGGAGGACGAACCCGTCAAGAAGAAACCCAAGGTATCTTCGGATTGAAACACTTGTGTACTTTTACTTGCTCCTTATTACTGTTCTCCTTGTTAATCATCATGATTTCAATATTGTATACATTTCTTTTGAATACAACTACAGAAGTATGTAGTTACAGCTTGCGATATACAATATTCCATGACACGAACAAGAGATGCGGGGTATATTCAGTACACATAAATGCACATTACGACGTGACGTCTCCTTTGTGTTTGGCCAGGAGAGAGCCAGGTTCGAATGTGACGGTAGCGGTAGCCGATGCACTGAAGGGAGCTGAGACACTAACGAGAGGCTGACTAGGACGCGTAGAGATGGACTGTTTTCTAGTTTGAGACCGAGATAGGTTATTAGAGATCGTGGTGGATTCCCCTGGTTTTGCGAATAGGACATGTCGTTCCTGGAAAAGAACATAGGACTAGAATATCAATGAGTAACAGGTTCGAGGGATCGAGTGCGAAGGCTTACTCGCGCTACGAGAATGGCTTCCATCCATCTCTCGCCGTCCTTTTGGTTACATGACAAGATATGAACATAGTCCGACACATTCTCAAATAGTGAGACATTGTCAGTAGATTTGATGGCGAAAACAAACGGTTTAGGAGACTTGTGTTTTCTGGTGATATAGTACGCATCGAAATTGGAGAGTGAGCACAGGAAAGTTTCGTCCTTTCCCTGCAACAAGCTTTGAGTTGGGTTTAAGAGTCCAAAGGGGATAGCGTACTGTATCGCGCTTGGCCAACCACAAGCTGTGCTCTCGCAACTCCATCCAACGTTTGCTCCACTTGCCCTTCTTGCTCTCATATTCGACATATCCGCGGTTGGTAGGTGAGCTTGTGGGTATATTCTATGCCGCCAGTTCGATAGGTTTCGGGTGGTAACAAATGAGAAACTTACCGAGCGGCTCAAGAAGGGTGCCAGGTAGGTGCGTTTGACCACAAAGGCATTCAGAAGTTTGTCTTTGTTCCAAGAAGCAGTGACATCTGCTAGTAGCTCGTAACTTCGGATAGGACGTTCTGTGATTGCGTGAGTCGTGTGATATCCACAGAAGATGTGAAACCTGCCTACCCATGCCAAAGTCATTCGCAAGCTCGAACAGCATCCAGACTGCCGTATTATCCAACGATCCTTGGCTTGCAATCAAGGCAATGACATCACCAGCATTGGTATTGGAGGTAATTTCCACTGTGTTGAATCTTTGCATATCTCCAATGAAGACCCGTTGCTGGGTGACCTGTACTTTTGGCGTAGGCAAAGGCTGAGACCGTGAATGTATCAGCTCGACGGGAGGGCGTTGAAGAATACGCTGCTCTGCATCCTGATCTACGGAGACACGAGGGACTACTGGTGTTGGTCTTCTACTATCCTCGCTTGGACGTGTAGACCTCAGTAGCGGGTCTGAGGCATTGCGAATCTCAAAACCATCTCTAGATGGACGGGTGACGGACTTGTCCCGGCGCACAGGCGGGTCTTCTGGTCTGCGCGAAGCGGTCGTCGGTCTACGTCCGGGACGTTGCGATAAGGATGGCTCTCGGCGTGGCTGAGCTGTATCCACAGTTCGTCCCTCTGGACGACGGAAAGATCGCATGGATCTCAATTGCCGATCTTGTGGAAGTTTGTCGGTGGTATAAGCCGGAATGTGTTGGAGGAACGCCATCTCGTCCACAGCTTGCGGACCGTGAATCCGTGCACCAGAACCAGAAATAGGTACTCTTGCGGGTAATGATGCAGAAGTAATCCCATTATAGGAAGTCGACGCGGTCGACGGAGGTGTCGCCATTTGAAGGTTTGCTAATTTCATCGCCAAATCATCAACGGGGAAAGGTTCGAGGGGAGCTGGCCTGCCACGAGTCCTCTCGCCTCTTGATGGGGCAAGCGAGGGTGTGACGGACGCAGAACGTTGTCGACCATGTATGACAGGAGGAGGAAGGGCAGGAACAGGAGGTCGTTCAGACGGCATTACTGCGCGAGTGCCCTTCGCACGCTGCATCTTCCGTTGGTAACGCTCGTCACGCAATTGCCTTCGAATAGACTTTTGGGCTGTGAGTGCCGTTGGCATGCTTTGAGCGAGCGGTACATCATCGTCAGAACAAGAAACCATTCTTGGGCGAACGGAACGTGTGCGAGATGGCGGCCGAGAGGAGTGTCCATCCACGCTATAGTAAACGGTACCGTTATCTCCCTCATCTGAAGAAGAGCTATAATCCGAGTCACTCCATGCTGGTGAACGTGTGCTTGGTCTACGCTCTCTGTCTCCATCGTCCCCACCGCCCTCGTAACCGTACCCTCCAGAACCATGGTTGCCAGAATGACCCCCCTCCTCTCTTCCTCCGTATTTATAGCCCCGTCTATCTCCATCACGGTCTCGCCCTGGGGGTGGGCCTCGTTGTCCAGGTGTGCCATCACCGTCACGCGGAGCATCTTCATGTCTTGGTGAGGGATGTGGTTTCTTGTTTTTGGGTAGGTCGTGTAAGATGCCAGGCATAGTGTGAAACGACCGTGTTAGGTCCGAAGATGTTTCAGGAGAGTAAAAAGAGGTGTATGGTGTGGGTGTGACTTTCGGGTAAGGGGTTCCAGATGTCACCTTCGAAGGTAAGTCCCAGTCTGACTCCGAATAATCAGAGTGCGGTTGTGTGTAGTAGTCAAAATCAGAGTGATAGCTGAGAGGATGATCTTCATCTATACCATCGACCTCGTGGGCGAAAGACATTTCCGAACCTTGAACGTGGCTGACAGGAACACTATTTTGATCGGCCACACTTGTGGACCACGGGGAAGATGATATGGACGAGGAACGTGAGAGCGCAGATGAAGAAGCCTGAGGCGTAAATGAAAGCGACGGAAGGGAGTCGATGTCGGCATCATCAAGCTGTACTGAGGCTGGTCTTCCATTGGTGGAATCAGAGCTACTCTCGGAGTCGCCCGGATCTGTGGGTATTTTCTCTGACATTGATGAACACGCCGGTGAGGGGGGACCTTCTAAACTGAGAGTGAAGTCTTGTCTGGTATCCAAAGGCTCTGGCATTTGCGGGACAGTAGCTGCACGCTGCCGCTGTGAGGGCCCCGCTATTGATTCCGCAGAAGAAGCAGCTGTGACACCGAGTTGGGAAGTAGGTTTCAGGTCCCATGGTTCGTGAGGTAACCGAGCGCCAGGGGTTCCCTTACGAGGCTGATGGTAATCATTAATGCGAGCGTCATCAACGCCAAAGAAGACATACTTTACGTGGGATACCAATATTCATTTGAGCCAGTGTGTACAAAGAGGGTAATGATGGTCGAGGAGAGAATGCCGGTCTGGTGTGAGCGGGACGAACTTGACCGTGACCGGATGACTTCGGACGTTTGGGATTATGGTGTCGAAGGTATGCTTGAGATGGAAGTAGTACAGTAGATGATCTCGGAGGATGCAATGCAACAGAAGGAATGGAATATGCACCCGGGCGTTCTGAAGATGGAATCACAGAAGGGGACGAGTGCAAGTTGGCAAAGGGGTCCTCGTCCAGTAAGGGAGGCGACGTAGCGGGTATAGGGATGTTTAAACCCTTCTCGAAAGCAGCATTATAGGTGAGCGTGGCCGCTGAGAGGGAGCGAGCTCGTGACGCGCTACTTGAGGGAGAAGTGGATGTTTGGAAAAACGGTGGAGTGAGTAGTGACTGTAGTGAAGGTCGTTTCGTAGGAAACTTGACGTGAAGCAGGCTGCTCTTCTTCGAAGGCGGAAATGATTTGGACTCAGACGAGAATGGGTCCAAAAAGTCTTCCATCATCAAAGTAGATAATTCTGGAGAGAAGGCAAAGGGTTCGTTGATCTGAGTCTGGGAACGAATGTAGATGAGCACTGTCTTTTGCCATGCCACGGAGGAACTATAGTATAAAGAGGGTGAAATTGTCACATTGTTGCTAGCGGGAGCACGTGATTAGATTGCACTACCATTGTTCATAGATCAATCATGCACATGCATCATGCATCAATGATGGACAAAACGCGTCAACGGACTGCGCCGCATCTTATATTCAAAGCCCGCCCATGGCCGCAGTCTAGGAGGAAATTCTTTGGCGTAAAAGAACTACACATACCTGAAACGGAGACTCGTCCGAGTCTGCCGCAAAGCATGGAGTATCTATAGCAATAGTTCCTATTGCCTCGTTATCACGTTGACACGTCATAGCCCAGCTAAAACAAGTTTCAGCGGCTGTAGGCGCTAAGCGCGTCAGGTCATCCCTAACCGCAGCAATATGCGTCTCGTTTTGGCAGTCTGTGAAAGTGTTCTGGAAAACAGTGACGGTGGGAAATGTCGATAAGAGCATGTTTTTTGTCCTCGGATCACAAATAAATGAGCTAGGGTTGATTTGGGGTGTTTAGCGCCTTTACCGCTGGAGATATTACAAGAAAATACGAGTTGTACGACAGAACAAGGAGTAAGAGAAGGTAAGAGAGTTGGAGTGAGTCTACAACAAGAGCGTACTACTAGTTGAACCAGAGTCAGTATTATTATGTAAGGCACTCCCCGCATCGACGGAAGTACCGTACTCGACATCATGATGGTAGTTTCGGCGTTTGACGTCTGTTTCCGAAGTTCTACACATGCCTCGAGAGCTACCTGGATTGTACTGGGATGAAGAAAAACAACGTTACTTTCCTCTAGCTTCGTCTCGGAGGCTTCAAGTTGTAGGCCCCAGCACCTTACATCCGCCGACCAAGGCGCAATCAGCGCCTCAGACCACGGGGGAATCCCACAACTTGAAAAGGCATCTCGGAAACCGTTCTCTCTTGCGCACAAAGGAAGATGCTAGGTTCAGCTTTCGCACCACTCATAAAAACAAGTTGATGCAGTACGTCCCTCTTGCTGCAGCGGTAGAGGTCCCGGGCTCACCGATACCTAAAATGACTTCTGTTCACGAATCCCATCATTGTGGCGCACAGCCAGATATCGTGCTTACAAGTAGCGCAGACGTCCCATGTTGCATCATCGTCCATTCTATCACTCACGTGCTGCGCTATCACTGCCTTCCAGGTACGACCATCATCATAAACCTATTTGCAGTCATATTCATGATGACCGTTGGGTTCGTGATAAGGCCGTATCCTACAACAACAATCTCCACAGTTTCGCAGGGGATACAGGAGGATGGTTTTACTCCTCAGTCATTGGTCGAGACGAGCCAGTCACAGGGCACCACACCTCGCACGGCTGGCGCCCAGAGTTCAGTCTCTCCTCAGAGGCAAGCATTTAGCTGTTCATTGTAAAAAATACCTCACACATCTGATTTGTCAGATCTCTTCCATATGTATATCTGGTTCTCGCTGCATGTCAGTATGACCTTACCTATGATTCCGTTAATCCACTCATTTGTGTGATCTAGTGCAACCTCGTTTGGCCCAGAGAGCAAGATATTGCACTTCCCCCTTGACTTGGACTCAGAAGAGTAACAATTTTTGCCATTACCCCCATTCATGGTATCTTATTTCCTTGGCGTGGTGCAGTATCCGTGTGACTCGTGTAAATAATCGGTCTGTTCGTGACATATGGACAGCCGATTTTCAAGGTACCCGTTTGGTGCTAGGTATGTTCGATGTATGCCTATCGTCTTCCAATTCTCAAAGAATATCAGGTGCGAATGACCAGGCTGTTGTCATCGATGATGCTGCCGATCGAGCGACTGTCTGTTTTATGAAAACGGGTAGCGACGTATTTGCCGTTGCTCAAGATAATGTACGTTTCAGGGTGCTACAGTACCTGCGTTACCCTAATGCGTTTCCACAGAATATTATTTATACAGGGTCCCGCGCTGGCATTGTCCAGCGGTTTGATAGCCGCATAGCTAGCACCAAGGGCGATCGCATTTTTAACGACCCAAGTACGACCCAGAATAATTCAGTGACCAACCTCAAGATTTTTTACGACTGGCAACTTCTCACGAGTAACATCGACGGAAGTGTGAGTCCACGAAACATAAGACCTGTAATAAATTTACTGAGTCTGACATCAGCTGGCCATGTTTGACCTCCGCTTCCCTAGCAATCGGAAACCTATAATGTCGTTTACAGGAAATATCAACTCCTACACCACAAAGACTGTAAGACCACACGTTGGCTTCGATTCTCTGTGTTCATAACATTACACAGCCTATTGCTGCTGATCCCCATGAACAATTCCTCTTTGCAGCCGGCCAAGACCGCCGCATCCGCCTATGGTCTCTCCGTACAGGAGGCCCACCGCTTGTTTCGCCTGCTAGCGTGTTTCAGAAACCATTCGAAGATCCGGTCCGTGCGCTCCAAGTTGTTGAGGAAGAAGAGGGCGTTCTGGGCTTGTGGGCCACATCGGGTGCAGCACTCTACAAGTATAACCTAGGTCAAAGGATGGAAGAAGAGTCTGAGGCGATGCAGTGCTGAACACAGATGCCAGCTTATGTTTTTGCTCACATTCATACCCTGTTTTGCGTGTCATGTTCCCAGGGAGGCAGCTGGGAGTCTCATGAAGTTGCAGTCATTCTACGAAGTCGCTCGTGATGCGGGGTATCACTGGGTGTGGGTTGACTCATGCTGCATCGACCACAATAACAACGTTAAGCTTCAAAGGTCGCTCAACTCTATGCTTACCTGGTACCGCGACTCAGCTCTCACGGACCAGGTAAGAAGGTTCATTGTGGACGGACTAGTGGATTACTAAGATACCGCAGTTTGTAACCGTACAGAGGAAAGGCGAATGTACTCAGTGGATCACTCCTAACTGAGCACGGGGTCTTTCTACAGGACCTGCCCAGGCAACTCGAACAAACGACCTCTCTACGAACCCGCCCGAAAGGCCCTTTCGTGCTGCAAGGTCTTGACATTACGGAGATGGCTAAATAGTCATGGAACGTACCTTGGGTGCAGCCTCAATAACAGGGGAATGGCGAATCTCGCGCATCGTTGTTCAATAAGGATAATCTTATGGAAAAAAATACAGGCATCGCAATGGATGGATGTATCTGCATGGTAGAAAACGGCGAAATCCGGAAACAGTGCAGTATCGATGCTCGAAGGATTGTGTGTCAGGGGTGACATGGCGATTGGTGAAAACTCGGGCATTTTGGTAGTGTCGCCGATGGTGTCAGAAGGTACCGGAAGAAAGAACTTCGAAAAGTCTGGGTATCGGTTGTGAAGCGGGTCCCTGGAGTATCGCCACGTTCTTGTATTCTGCCGCAATGCCCTTTCGTTTCCCGGGAACGAGTCGGATGACCTTGAACTGGAGCCGGTCGCCAAAGCAGGCAGCGCGTCTGAAGTGTAGCCGGGAGAACGGGGTTCAACTGAGTATGAGAGACTGTATCCAGGAGCCAGCATCCGCGTCGAGTTAACCTCATCCATTCTGTCGACCGAAGCGAGAAGTGATTCTGATGTCGGAGGAAGATTTGACATTCCTGGTGACACGACAGGATGCGAAGAGATAACTTGGGGCCTTGACGCGTCAGGGCAGCTCGGGGTGTTGAGTTCTGGCGGATCCAGTTTTATTGTACGCATTAGCGGTCCCCCAGGGCGCGTCTGAACCGGGGGGCGAGGCACCCTGTTTTTTCTCATATACCAGTTCCTGATCCACGCTTCGTCCCTGTAATACTTATATGTTCGCCGGAAGGGTAAGTGGTATTAGAGTTGAACATACAGGCCAGTCTCCACAGCCAGTTTATGCCTTTGGGAAGTTGACGGTCGAGCCTCCTCTGCGTGCATTTTCTTTAGGATGTCTAGCTGCCATTGCTTTGCGCGGACAGTCGGCTTTTTAATCGTGGCGAAAGGGTTACTGTTCATGGTGAGAAAATAGAGCAAGAACTTAAATGAGGGTATTTAGGGAGTGTTTAGAAAGTTGAAACCAGCGCGGATGGAGCGCGACCAGCCACGTGACAGATAATACTATTCCCACGGTCCTTGCGGGGTTAATCTGCCTGATACCTACTCGGATCGCGAGCAATCAGGCCGCTGCGCAGGCCTCAGGTTGAGAAGATAATTGTATTCTGTCAAGCATTCTTCCAGGACACCAATTGTCCTTCCGCTCTTTTTTCATGGCACAGGCCATCTCATCCGGTCGTCGGTCAAGCTTGGACTCTCTGGCAGGCTCACCAATACTATCGCCAACGTCGCCAGCGTCTCCATACTCACCAACTGATAGTGTATCTGTCCGTGATTCATCTTCAGCGCTCGTGCTCCTTCCCAACCAAGATGACGAAGATTCTTTTGAGTTCAGTAGCGATGAAGAACATGACGAACATGACCCTCAGCTGGAGATTGCGAAGCTTGCCATACCTCCTCTTCCGGCTGCCACAGTCTTTCTGTACCTTTTGGCGCCATACCTCAGACTTGGTGCCATCCTCGTGCCAAACGGTATCACCTCGCTGAAATTTGGGCTTGTGAATCTCTTCGTTGCTGCAGCGTTATCCATCTTCTCTCGCAACCTATGGTTCCTTCTGGCAAGGTACCTGCGGAAGAGTACTGCGGAGGACATTTTCTTTGAGGTGATTGCGAAAAGCATTAGTAGGGCCAAGCGCAGGCGACGTGAAAGGATTCGACGACTACTTCTTTGCGTCACTGGATCGTTAAGAATATTGATGGCATCTATGTATTTACGCGGTCAGTCGTACTATAGCTACTTCGCCGTCTTCTGTGTCTGACTTTGGTATTCAATAAAAGCATCTGTGGACTCCGTTTATCCACTTCTACTCCAGGCTCTTCCTGTACAAACCCGACTTATCACCACTTTGGCATTGGGCCTGCTCATATTTGTTGTATCTTTCCCCAAGTCTCTAGCATCGAAGCAAGTTATCTGCACAACGTGGCTATCAATAATCTTATACACCGCGTGGTTAGCCGCTGCGCTGTATAACCATATGACTGGCACCATGATGCCAAGCCCCATTCTGGTGCAACATGGCGTGCTCTGGAATGGCACCAGTAAGTATATGGTAATACTTCGTTGTTCGCGACCATTATTAACTATATGCCATAGCTTCTATTGCGTTTTCGTTCGCAACTTCGCTAACGGTTCCCCTATCTACTTCTCTGGCTGGGCGACCTTCTACACCATCAAACAAGACGGACAGAGGCACATATTTCCAGATGCTGTGCATCTTATCGACAATCATAGCGACCCTCCTTATACTTCCATCAATTTTGACGGCCTCCTTGCCCAATGTTCCAGTATGATTTTCCGTCCTTTTAATTTGCTGCTGCTGACGTCAAGATAAGGGAGCGCTCAGCGATACACGTAATATTATAGTTCACGTCCTTGGGGCATCTTCTCTCTTGTTGTCCATTCCTCCCGTGTTGGTTTCTATACGTCCTCTACCAGTTCCACTAGCTGTACGGAGAGTTTGTAAACTGGACCTCAGCAAGGCCACTCTCATATTCGTTGTTGTATTACTCAGCTTGGCCCCTCCATCAATAGCGGCATTCCTTAATGACCTCACTATATTGTTGGCCCTTTGTGGAAGCTATTTCCTTCCAGGTAAGTGTACTCGGAGGGTTTTCTCTCGGTGCGGTCATTCTTACATATTTTCTTCTACAGCATTGGCACACATCACAATCCATTACTTCCGGCGGCCTATATCTATCGTGATCCCTCCCTCGGTCCCGAACACACCACAAACCATACAATCACCTTCTCCGTCACACAGTCCAGACGCCCTTCTCCAGCGCAAAGAGAGGCTGCTCCAGCGAAGGCGGCTTGGAAGACGAGTGTTATGGGATGTTGGCGTTTGGTTGTTACTGATACCCATCAGCGTATTTGGAATGGTTTGGGCGGGTGGCCGATTGGTTGGAAAATGGTAGCTTTCGCAGCAGCGTGCGGTCCCGCAGAATAGACTTTACGTGTTTCTAGAATCGAGCGTTATTCTAAACGAGGACTTCCCTTCGGTCGGCTCTACGATGATATATTGTGTTTACAGTGGGAAACACAATTTCAGCATGATCTCTGCAAATAGACAGTGTGTCTCGCATTCTCACTCTCGGCAACGTTGTGCACAATTGACCGCCTCGGAGCGAAGAGATCAGTCCGGGGGTCGAGCACGGTTCGTCAAATCTTGATATCTCAAATCAAACGTAATTGCACGCGGGTCGCAGAGGAAACTATCTTCGATTCGCTATCTATGACGAACGGTTTGGATGGAATACGGGGGATGCCGCGGCGGTTACATATCCCAGGATTGCAAGGTAGTCGGGTGTATGTTCTGGTGCGTTCAATGGAGTCTGCTCAGCTTCTTTCAGGCTATCTGAACTAAGATGAGATTCTACATTCAAGTTGCTTCGTGAGTGGAATGTATGATTGATATCGGTTGCGATACGTTAGAAAATCGCGCGGCGATCTGTCTATAATTTTTTCGTTGAAAATTCATACGTTGAGAGGGGAAAGGAATGCAAGATCAAGGTACTCGCTCTCACATCATGGTCACACTCCAGACCAGCTGTCCCTGGGCAGATTCGGACCATCCAGAACGTTCTATATAAATTACAACAGGACATGATTTCAGCGCTATGATACCTTAATTACTCTCCTCATGGCACTCAGTCCGATCAAGACCTATGTACTCGGTGTCACAAGGTGGTTCCAGCGTCTACGGGAATATGTGGTGGGAAGAGCTCGAAGTCGATGGTATCGTCGAAGTTTGTGGTCGATATTATGTGTGCGAGATTCTGTCGATTTCCGGAGCAGTCTTCTCCTAGTAGGGTTTTTTTTTTGATCCTTGTTTATGGTCCGTCGCAAGGGCGAAGCCCTATGTTAGACAATACACGCGGTGTCTACTCTATCTAATCATGTGCTTATTTGTAAGTGATGGGTCTTGTACAATGATCCTGGCCGGGGCGCGGACGATAACACCAACCTAAGGTGAAAGGGTAGATGGGGTGAATGATCCGTCTACTTGCTTCTAGTAATCTTTTCTTTGGGCGGCGATACGTTTCCGAATACTGACTCAAATCTTCTTGTGCTAGCAACGAATTTGAACAGCGGCTTCAAGCATTCGGCTTCGTTGAGGATATGTTTCACGTGGTGCGCTTTCTTACCTAGTTCTAGTCTGAGAATGCTGCGTTGTCTGGTGTTCCTAGTAGGTTGATCGGCGATCTACTCGGAAAGCCGAAAGGTATTACATAATACAAAGTACTAAGGTATTCCTGGCCGATTGCAAATTATAGAGCAACACAGCATATGTGACGTAGTGCACACAAGCCGCCGGCTGTTCAGATATTTTCACACGTCATACTACTGCGCATTCCTTGTTCCCCGCACGGGCCGCACCTGAAGGCCTGACGCTTTGAAGGCCTGACCGGTGACCGATGACCTGGACAACTGCTATGGTTATTTAGAATGCTGTGTACATGGACTTGCGTTCACCCGAAGCTTAGTTCAGTTTGTATTTAGAATAAAAAATCCAGCCGCACAATCACCATTCAGACTAGTATCTAGTACTATACATATGTCCCAATTATCATTGGGCAATTTGGGGCACATTATGGAGATCAGACAATGTGTAATTCAGGCCTTCACTAAGTCACCTTTGCCGAAGCCAAAGCCGAAGCAAGTTAAAAACGTTATCGTCAAAGATCATGTGTTGTTAACATAATGTATGGTTCATTCAAGCACTCTCGATCCCCGCAGGAAGCTTTCCTCCATGTGCTGGGCAGGCATGAAGACGGCGATCTGAGGCCTGGGTGTTACTAGTGTCGAGCAAAATCAGCGGTGACCTATACCCCTCCAGATGGACTTACGGTTTATTTATAATGCTTTCACTGCCTGCGAAAATCAACGTATCATAGACGAACGCACCACATAACATCCCGGTGACTGGACCACACACAATGCACCATAACCAATACTGATTGCGATACGTGAACACTGATAATAAGTTCAAGCCATCGTCCAATTTACATCACCGATGACCTCGACTTACCTGCAGTTCCATAGCCTACGGCTGCCGTGAGGAACCTCGGCCCCAGATCTCGAGCAGGATTCAGGGAATAGCTCGTGTTCATACCGAGAGAAGCCCCAATGCCAAGCACCAGAATGAATAAGGCGAGAGGGAGGAGACCCTGTGGGGGCGGTCCATTTTTCTTATCAGTGACGGAAAGTACACCAATAATCAATATCGCAGAGCCCAAAAACTATTTTCAGAAATAAATCAGTATTTCCTAAAGAAAGATCGAAATTATTTAAACCTCGGAAAAGAAGCATGAGACAGGGGTCAGGAAGCTCGCCTGCGAAGTTGTCAGTAAAGGGGGGTGTGAATAAGCACAGTTCGCACGGCATATGTAGCAAGAAGATCTCCCGAACCGTTGATAGTTCTGATGCCAGGACCGCCTTCTACTATATCTATGGCATGGAAGTAGTTGGCATACACAACACCACCACCACAAAATGCTCCTAATAGCTGAGCGAAGATGTATAATGGCACCTTTTTCCAAGGGAACCCTCGGAAAACTGCCAAAGTAAACGTGATCTGCCGAATTACTACTCAGAAAATAATACGCTGAGAGCAGAAGTTTAATTTACCGCAGGGTTTATGTGCCCTCCAGATATGCCTCCTGAGATCCACACCCCGAGTGCCACGCCTAAAAGTATAGTCACGTATTTTGTGATTGTGAGGGACATATCAACCCACCTGAAGCCCAGCCGAAGTTGAGCGAAAGGAAATCCTATATTGAGCCTCACCATAAGATAGATACTAAACATTGGTAGCATCTACTTACCCCTCTTGGGACCACTTCAACATTCGGGTCGGTGGACAGAAACACTTGACAGTTGACACCAGTACCGAAGATCACGAAGATCATCGTGCCTAGAAACTCGGCCGCAGGTTCACGGATAGCGTACCTGGACAGTGTAATGAGGAAGATCATAAATAACCGATATATATTTTCTTTACCTGATTCTCGACCACCTGTTAGGAAATACCATGCAGTGATCGCAGTCAGCAAGGTTGGCCGTGCTAACTGAGCCGGGAGTGCATCTTTGCTTGTCGTAAGAGCCAACACTTTCCATACGTATTTCTTCTGACTTCTCAATAATTTCCGACATGATTCGCAAGGGAAACGAGTCGGGGAGCTAGCAGAGCTAGCAGGGAGAGCAGAGGCACCTGCAGGCGTCGAGAATCATATTTATACGTCAAAATGGTTTGGTTACCTACATAGCCCCAGTGCTCCAAAGTACCTGAAGTCTATCCCGAGATAGCAAAGAGCACAAGATCGCAAACATCGCATGACCGGTCGATGAAACAAGTTGGTCTCCCGTAGCCATGCCTATACAGATGTTCCTTCTCTACTATAGGTACAAACACAGTGAAGCCAGCTGACTTGGATAATCATTAATCAGTCTTGATGATGATTTGAAGGTCCGAGGAGGCAACCACATGTGAGGTCTCGTGATTTCGGCTTAGAGAAGAAACATTGCAAACGCAACAAACCCTCCGATTTACGGCCTGGTTCTCGACGTAAGCATGCTCATGATCTGAAATTCTACTAACGGGTGCCACGACGAAGCGGATCCGTTGTAATCGATGTACCCGTCTTGCGCGCGGATAGGGTCGTATACATGATCACCGTTCAAAATACGGTTCAAGACGCTGGAAGCCCCACCCTGCTCGTTCAGAAATGGAATTATGATATCAAGAATACATTACTGGGGTGCATCATATCTCCGTGCTTACGGGCGGGTGCTAATGGATATACTACATCAGTAAGCATTCCATTCTAAGGATTGAACCCGTAATTCCACGTACACCGAGTAGCCATGCCGAAGACTGAGAATCAATGAAAGCGACTGCGACAACACTTGACTATCATATGAGCAGGTGAGCGAGGCATACCCCTTGATCCAGTCTGCCTGGTGACTGGTCGGTTGAAAGCTGAGGCAAGATATCAGCATGTGATCTGCCAGAATCCTTTAGGCTAGAGAGAAGCACGTGATCAGGCGAGCTCTGCCACGTCAAAGCCTAACTTCAACTTGACGTGACAGTGACTCAGACTGAACCGTTACGAGTCTACATCAATCACTCATTTACGGACTTATAGAACGAAGACTTGCCTTCTTCAGAGGACAATAAACTCGGCGGTCTACCGAACATAATCCTAAACAAATTTCTTTCATGGCTAGCGTCGGAGTTTTCTTCAGGATGCGTTTTTGAAATGAAAAGTTGCGTGCCACAAGGAGAAAATTTAAAGTTAACTGAACTTACCCGACTATGTTATTAAAGCTTGAAGACAAGGTTTGCAGCCTAGGATGACGTTATTGACTAATATCTCCCTTCGTCTATAAAGGGGAGACTCGTAACTGGAAGTCTGGAACGACTTGAAGTACATCTCGGAAGGCCAGGGTCTGATTTACATACTCGAGTAAGTCTAGACAGATCTATGACACAGGGGTTATTCGGTAGGAAACAATTTAAACGCCTGAGTCATGGCTAAGGTCGAGCCGTAAGCTCTGTCAGGCTTCAGCAGCTCTTTCTATGTTGTACGGTGATTTGTGTGATGTCGTCAAGCATGGGAAGTTGGGAACGGAAAAACGGAGTGGTCATAAGAAGCGAGAAATAAACGACTCAAAACCTTCAACTCAAAAACTTGCGTGCTCTCATTCTACGTAAAGTTACTAAAGTCCGACTTGTTCTCGGTCATCGCTTATGCAATGCTTTATGTATCATTTATCGGACTTTACTCGATAAAAACACGCGTGCAAAAGGAGTCACTAGTTAGTCAATGATGGCTGCTGCTATCATTAAGAGCATGCGTAATTAATCATTTCACAAACATGTAGCAACAGAGTACTTCGTGTATTAGGATACGCGGTCATCGAAATCTTAGCAAACACATGTCCGAGTGTAGTACCAGAGTCATTACGAGTGTCATTCAATCATCAAACTATTTCTGCACCCCCATGATGTTTTGTTCCTGCGAGCACACGAGTGCAGGTGATACCTTTCAGCCTCTTCAGTCCTACATACAAACGGGTTAATACTTGCGCCATACACAAACATTAAAACGCACGGCTTGTTCGTAATACTTTCAGCACCCCTGTAAAGCATAGCATCGTAGAAGAACGCAGCCACCATCATGCCAAAAATTGGACCAAGGATAGGGCACCAGAGCCAATACTGGTTCCTGAAGGTGAAGACTGCGCTACCATATCCAACCATGGCAGTAAGGATACGGGGGCCCAGGTCACGAGCAGGATTAAGGGCCGCTCCAGTATCCATGCCAAGAGCCGAACTGATGCCAAGAAGTGTTAAGAATATTGCGACAGGAACAACACCAGGAGGTGCAG